TAGATAGAAAAATCACATAGTTTCTCCCCCCACTTTTAGTTTCAAATTCTCGGATGAAAAAGAAAAAAATAGAGCATTTATAGTCTAGTTTTTATATATTTACATATTAGCCCTTATTACTTTTTATTTTTATTTTTGTCACTCAATTCTTCTTTTTACTTAATTTGCACCATAATACCTTATATTTTACTTTACTGTATCCATTTACAGTACTTTAAATCTTTTTATTTAATTAATTTGATATTTTATTTATTTTACTCAAATTATAATTTATCATGTTTTCATATAATTAGTGTTTTTTAGTTTTTAATCATGTTTTCATATAATTAGTGTTTTTTATTTTTTTTATTTTATAATTTTGATGTATGCATAAAAAATTTTAAAAATAGTTTGATATATTTTTAAATAAAAAATACTATTAAAAAATATTATACACGTGACCATTTTGTGTGGAAGGCACCACATGAAATACAGTCTTTCTTGTTAATTACCATATATTAGGTTGGTTTTTATATAAAATAAGTGTGAATCTAGTGTTAAAATAAACTTTATTTTTATAAATATATATATAAAAATCAGTGGAGGATAAGATATGTACTTTCAAAATTACTCGAGAATGAAATTTAATTTTTGGTATGAAGATATTCTTGTGTTAAAAAATTAAATATTTTAAAAATTAAATATCAAAACTTTGAATTGATGTTTTTTTTCCTAAACAATCTGAAATTAGTCTGTGCTTAATTATGGTAACACTTTGTTTATAAATAATCTAGAGTGGATTGAAATTGATTGATTTTATATGTTGTAAAGTTAATAATTATATAAATTTTATTAAAAAATAAATTTAAAATATAACTGGTTGAAAAGCTGAAACTGGCCGCTTCTTGCGACGTGACATGACAGAGACATTCACAAGCATCTTAGGACTCAAGTTGCTTCTTTTTTCCTTTTCTTCCAGTCAGTGCCTTGTTTACCAAGGACGCAGTAAGGACTAAAAGCAATAAATCCAATATATAATAAACATAAATTTATTATTAAACAAGTCTCAAATCTTTTGTTTTTTGTTTTTTGTTTTAAATCAATTTTACTCAAAGGGTAATTAACATCAGATAACATCACTCTTTATTATTAATCAATTTTGCTTAATTAAAATGTTCGTCGAAACAATAAAAAATTTGGATTTGTGTGTGAACTGGGTTTGCAGCCCCTTAGGGAGATCCGCAAGCCAGGGATGTCCAGAGCTGACAAAGTCCAAGACCAAAAGCCATAGCATCGGCATAGGGAATAAAAAGGGAATAGCACTTTTCTGATAAAGTCAAACACAGATCTTCCCTCGCCGTGGAATTATTTGCGCGCATCTCCTACAGTGTTGCTTCTGGCGTGTTGTCCTTCCCAGGCTTTTTTCCTTTAATAATGATATAAAAGTTTCAGTTGTCGCCGCTAGTTTTGACAGCTGGTAGTTATCGTTTTTAAAATATTTGTAAATTATTTTGTATTTGAAAAATTATAAAATTAATATTTTAAAATATATTTTCACACTTCCTATAATAAATAAATAAATTATCTTGATATATTTTAAATTAAAAAATATTTTTAAAAAAATATTATATAATCCCTTAACCTTTGAGTTTTAACACATTTTAATCAACTATGAAATGATATGCTTATGCACTGTCATGAGCTTATAAAATAAATATATTTAATAGTGTTATAATTATGAATATAAATAATAGTAACTAAAAGTATGATGAAGTAAATATTTTATGATGAAAAAAAGGTTATGTTAGCGATTAAAAACTTATAAACTAAGCAAAACAATTTATAGCAATCCACGGTGTTTTATGATAGAAAATACAGTGCTTTCACCACATGATTTAGTTTTTCTATTAATAAAAAACAAAAAAATTACAAAGTTAAATTCTCTACCAACTTAATATTAAAAAAAAACCAACAAAGATAATTTTGAAAGGAAAAACAACCCATGAGGAAAAACATTGTAGCAATTGACTATGTTTTGCGAGGAAAATTACAAAGTTTTTTCTAATAAAATAAAAAAAAAATTAGCGAAATATTATAGCAATTCATAATATTTTGTAAGAAAAACTACAACACTTTCCTCGTATGATTTAACTTTATTATAATTATAATTCTTAACCAACTAAGTATTAAAAAAAATCAACAAAGATAATTTTGAAAAAAATCATAAAAAAATCATATGAAAAAACATTGCAGCAATTAACAATATTTTAAAGAAAAAAATTAGAAAACTAAATCTTTAATCAGCTCAGCATTAAAATTTTTTATTAGAAAACTAAATCTTTAATCAGCTCAGTATTAAAAAAATTCGGCAGAGATAGTTTTACAAAAAAATAAAAAAACATAAAAAAATCATGTTGAAAACACCATAGCAATTCACAATGTTTTGTGATAAAAGTTACAGTGCTTTTCTCGTATAGTTTAGCTTTATTTGTAATAACTTATAATTGTAATTCTCAAATAACTCAATATTAAAAAATAAAAATGACAAAGATAATTTGAAAAAGAATTATAAGAAAAAAAACCACGTTGAGAGACACTATAATAATCCACAATGTTTTGTATGAAAAACTATAATACTTTTCCCACATGACTAAGCTTTATTGCAGATTTAAATTATAACCAACTCAATATTAAAATAAATAATTAACGAAGATAATTTTAGAAAAAAATATTGCAAAAAATGAAAACACAAAAGAAATTAAAAAAAACCATGTGAAGAAAAATTGTATCAGTCAATGGTGTTTTGCGAGGAAAAACTTGTATTTATTTGTAATTGCAATTCTTAACCAGCTTGATGTTTAAAAAATAAAATTAATAAAGATAATTTTAGGAAAAAATATAACAAAACAGAAAAAAATCATATGAAAAAAAATACCATAGCAATCCACAGTAACTTGCGATGAAAGTCACAATGCTTTCTTCATATATTGTAATTATAATTTTTAATCAGTTTAATATAAAAAAATAAAATAAAAAAGATAATTTCAATGAAATTATTTTAAAAACCATGCAGAGAAACATTGCAGCAATCAAAAATGTTTGAAAGAAAAAATTACAAAACTAAAATATTAAAAAAGAATAAAATCGACAAATATAATTTTGTAAAATAAAAAAATAAAAAACTATGTGAGAAAATAACGCAAAAATCTATAGTATTTTAAAGAAAAAAATTACAAAGTGAAAATTTTAACCAACTTGATATTTAAAAAGTAAAATCAATAAAAATAATTTAAAAAAAATAAATGAAAAAAAAACAAAGGAAAGTTGAAAAAAAGAAAGAAAGTGATTTCAGAAAAAAAAGAAATAAGAGGAAAGTTGGAAAAAAATTGAAAAAAAAAGCATTACGGATTAATGTTGTAATCCACGGTGATTTCAATACAGAGAAAACAGTAATTCATCATACTATTTAAAAAATTATTTAGTAAAATATGCCCAAAAATTCATTTTCTCTCTCGTGAGTTACTTGATTATATTAATTATTCCTAAATTAACTTTATGAGTTTGATTCTAGTGATAAAATAAAATTTATTTTCATGAATGTCTTAAGTTAGTACAAGGTAGGATATGTACTATTAAAATTTCTTAAGAATAAAATTTATTTATTTTTTAAATTAATATGGATATTCAAATAAACTTACAGTCATCTTAACTAATTTTATAAACCTGAAAATTAATGATTATATAAATCAATTAATTATTTTTAGAAAGCAAATCTAGAATCTAATTAATTGAATTATATAATTAATCGAATTATATCTTTCATAATTAAATAAAATTTATTTTTGATTAATAAATAAATTGCTATAAATATATTCATGTATTGAAAAAATAAATAATTAAATTAAAAAAATATAAAAGTATTATCATATATTTTTTTTTAAAAATCCCGAAACTGGTGCATGATTAAATATGATAATACTCTGTTTATGATTAATCTAAAGTGGATTGGAATTGGCTGCTTCTTGCGACATGACGTGATAAAGGTTTTCAGAGACATCTTGGGACTCAAGTTGTTTCACTGTATCGAACAGCCGGGTGTCTTTTTTCCTTTTTTGCAGTCACTGTCTTGTCTGCCAAGGATGCAGTAAGAACTCAATGCAAAGTATCCAATAGATAATAAACTTAAATTTATTATTATCAAACAAGTCTCAAATCTTTTGTTTTTTATTATTTTTTCTCAAAGGGTGATTAACACTGGGCAACATCACCTTTTTGTCCTTTTTTTTTAATACTCTCATCTAAGATGTTAAAATAACTTATAGGATGACATGTTAGAGATACTTAATTTTTTGTTAAACGATCAATATCTATTATTTAATTAAAATTAAAATTATCTTCTCAAACATGTGTTTGGTAATGTGGTGAATGATTTTTTAAAATTTTTTAAATTAAAAAATCATTAAAATAATATTTATTTTATTTTATTTTTCATACCACCACATCAAAATTATAAAAAAAAATTTAAATTTAATATTTTTTTAGATGAAATGCAAGCTAGTCCACAAAACAAACACCCCTAATAGTAAGATTCACATTCTAATTTGAAACTTTTTACCCATAATATATACCGTGTTAATTAGTAAGCAAAACCTGGTAAATAAATTTAGCACTCTTAACATTTTCCAAAATCCTAAGAAGAAAATCATTTAAAACTCACTTAAAACTTTAATATTTTTCTGTTAATCTAGCAAAAGAAAAAAGAAAAAAAAATCCTTTAACATCGATGAGGATATAATTGATAAAATCAAAAGATCTTGGATTTGATTAATAACGAGGTAGTATATTAAATACAAAACCTTTTCTCATAACAATAATAATATCGCGATAATAAAAATGCATTTAAAACGTGGCAGTCTACAAAATCAATCAAAAGCCTTACAGTGACGAGTCGGGTTTAAAAACCGGTTCAAACCGGAAATAAAAGAGAGTTGGTTAGGGCAGTTTAGAAAGAGTGTTTGTGTATAAAGCACGATAAGCCCCAGCTTGCGGTTTAGGGCGCAAAAGAAGAAACGAAGCCGTAGCAGAGGGCTCCTCCTTGTCCGAGCAAACTTATCTCTATTTTCCTTTCAAGGTAACTCTCAGATCCACCTCAACAAACCCTAACTCCCATTTTTCCTTCAAAAACCTAATTATCTTGTTTTTATAATTTTGAACTTGAATTTTTCGTTTTGGCGGCGGTGTAGAAAGATGGATCGGTACCAGAGAGTGGAGAAGCCGAGAGCAGATGCACCAATTGACGAGAACGAGATTCGAATTACTAGTCAAGGAAGGATGCGTAGCTATATCTCTTATGCCATGAGTCTGCTTCAAGTACTTCTCATCTCTTCTCTCCCTCTGTTTTTTTTTTTCAGTTTCAATTTCTTGCTTCCTTTTTTTGGCTTTGTATTGAACTCTATTTGGACCTGAACTATTTTTTCTGGATAAAATTTGAATTTATGTAAGCTTATGGTAGCTTTAATTTTAATTCAGGGCTAAAATTTGAATTTCTGTAAGTTTTATCGTAGCTTTAATTATGGGACAAAATTTAAATTTCTATAAGTTCCTGGTAGGTTTATAATTCTCTTATTCCAAGAATATATATGCTTTATTTTTGTTGTGATGTTTTTTCGTGCCTGTTAATTAATAATGTCATGTGCGGCTAGGGTTGCTAGCCAGGTGGATTGCTAGGTCTTTTTATTCATTAAAAGCGTCGTGCTTATCTTTATTTACTCATTTTTTGTTGTTTTTGCTAATGTTTGTGTTTAATTATAGGAAAAGGGCTCAAATGAAATTGTATTCAAGGCGATGGGAAGAGCCATCAACAAGACCGTGACCATCGTGGAGTTAATTAAGGTTTTTCCATTAACTGCGGAACTATTAATGGATCGGTCTGTTACTGTAGTCAGTTGTGTTTGATTGTGGGTGGTAATGCTCTGTTTCTTGTTGTGACGCAGAGAAGAATTGTTGGTCTCCATCAAATCACGTCGATTGGATCCACGGACATAACAGATACATGGGAACCTCTTGAGGAAGGCCTCCTTCCGTAAGTAGAGTCTGAAGGAAATTCAGAATATCTGATAGATTAATTTTCCTGGTTTCCATTGCTGTAGCTCTGACCATGAATTTTTGTTTTTGTTATTGAAGATTGGAAACCACAAGGCATGTTTCAATGATCACAATAACCCTTTCCATGAAGGAACTGAATACATCTTCTGTTGGGTGAGTTTGTGTGCCTCTGTTGTTTCTCAATTATTAGATTTGTGATTTAAGCATTTTGATTTCTTGTTGTAACTACGTGATAGCAATTGGTTATAATCACTCGAACCTTTTGTTATAGCAAGTGAGCATATTTGTAAGAAAAGATATTTCTAATGGCTTCCAAATTTCTGCTCTCTTCAGGTATCAGCTCCCATTACTTGCTGAGCAGGTGAAGGCATTCACGGATTTTGAGTATGAAGGAGGTAAGAAATGTTCATTATTGTTATAATTTATTCAGTTGATCCTGTTTGCATCTGCTTAGAGTTATTTTTGTGTTGCAGATGGTTCACCTAGCGGCCGTGGTAGGGGATGGGGTGGTAGAGGAAGGGCAAGGAGTAGAGGTATGTCTTGACGGGTTTTGCCTCCATGCCTTCGCTATTTGCACAATTTCATTGGATATATTTGGTTGTTTATATTTATTGCCTGAAATCAGCAAGTGGTTATATGCGAAATGTTTGTTCACCTTTTGCTGTATTTGCCTGCCTTTTGTTTTTTTTGTGTACTTATTTAATGTACTGTGATGCTTGACGGTGATGATTTGGCCGTGTTGGGCTGTTATGAGATGCTTTAAAATAACTAGGACTTTTGAAGTTTTGATACATGAGTTGGTGAGATACAAGGTTCTTATACTGTGGCTGTTGATTCCCAATATTGCATGGCATGACAAGCCATTCTTTTGTGCAGGGAATGGATTTGTGTATGCTGAGCATGAGGATGGGGGTTGGGATCGCAACCGGGGCTTTCCCAGGGGCAGGGGTCGAGGCAGAGGACGTGGATTCCGTGGCCGTGGAAGGGGAGGATTTAATGCACCTCATGCTGATACACAACAAGATGGCGGTTATAATTATGACGCTCCTCCACAAGGCCGTGGTATTTTTCGTCGACATTTTTTTCTTGCTGTTCATGATCAATATGGCTATCTGTCTTGAGTTTGTATTTTATCACAAGAAAGAATCCTAGTTTGATGTTTTTTTAAGGTTCTTCACCTGGATGTCCTCTAGTTGAGTCTCCTTGCATTTGCTTACTCTTGACATCTCATTTTTTACTGTGACAACCATGAACTTTCCAACTCTACTTTGAGCAGAAAGGTTCCTTGAAAAACAGTGCCTGTAATGACGTCAGCTCCCGGTTATATGTAATTTATTGTTTTTCATTTCAACTTCACCCATCTTTTAGATCTGCTTGCATGAGGTTGGTGCTGATGTGTTTTGCAACAGGGTTTTCTGAGGAGTCTCACCATGGATTTGTGCCAGCACCAATTCAAAATGCCTTTTTGTCTTTCATGGTGCACTAACTTGTTGCGTATTGATTGTAGGTCGTGGCCGTGGGAGGGGGAATCGTGGAAAGGGCCGAGGATTTAGATCTAATGGGCCGATCCCTGCAGCCGCATAAGATGCTCATTTTTGGCTTTGTTTAGAATCGAGTGCAGATGTTAGTGTTTGTTGCCTTCTTTATCATCTTTTTATCCCCCTTCATTTTGGTGTTTTTTATTTTACCCAAGTTGTAGTAGTAGTTTTAACTTAGGACTTTCATGTGTAACCACCATAGATTAATCCTTTTAGTTTGAAACCATTGCGCCTCGTGGGGCTATTATTTTTTTGTGGTGGCTGTAGTTTGGGGTGCTTGATCAGTTGTAATCTTCTTAATTTCTACCTAGAAGTGGGTTCTTTAATTTTTTCAATCTCTCCTACTCGATGGCTTGCTGCATGCTTTATAAATAGATGCTCAAATGCTCGCTCCATGGCTGTGGTTTACATGGGACGTGCATCGACGTTTGAAAGATCGATGTGCTTTTTAGATTTAACACAGCAACGGGTCATTTTCCCTCCATAGCACTAGTGAATTATAATGTTAGTCACATCTCGGAAGCCTCCTCAACAGCTCATGTTGTGATGCTTTTGAAAATGAAGCAGGAAACACTTATTTTATGACCAGGCAGAAAAATTGAGGTTAAAGGCACTGCGATAAAATATGCGATTGGTGAAATATTTAGTTAATCCCCTCAGGTTAAGATAACCAATTTCCAGCCCCTGTATTTTAATAATTGTCGTAAACTTATCCCTGTTGTATTTTCATGACAATTTAATTGTTTTTCTCTCTCTAAGATATCCTTCACTTCAAATCAAAATTACCATTCTCACCCACCACTTGCAAAATAAAAAACTCAATTAAAAATAATAATTTATAAATTCAAAAAATAATTAAAAATAAATTTTGCTCAAGGGATTAACTTATGATTTTCAAAATGAAAAGAATTAACTCATAATAATAATCAAATATTTTACATTTTATATAAATTCGAAATCAAATAATAAAAAAAGGGACTGAATTATAATCTTCTCTTCTAGCATTCTTACAATTTAAAATCATAAATAAAATTACAATAATCATTTCTCATAAGTTTCTCATATTTATTTATTATACCTTTTCGTTCATTATATTTGGGCTATTATCATTGCACATACTAGACTAGCTGGATCGAGATCCAATTAGGAGGTTGATACAGCTCAATCCAAGCTTCAGTTTTTTATTTTTAAAAATATGCTGGTATGAAAATAAATACCATTATTAAATTCACTGATGGGCCCGTTAAGATAACAATAGAACAAAACTAAAAACGAGAGAGAGAGAGAGAGAGAGAGAGAGAGAGAGAAACTTGGATGTAAAGAAAAGCGAGACAGTCGCCAAATCCCAAACATCAATTAAAACGAGCTCCAAAGCCTTCCAGAGCTACCTCTCCCCAGCTCCACTACCATGCTGGCTAAGATTTTCAGCCACTACCTTACTCCATTTCTCTTATCAAAGCAGAACCCTAATTTCACCATTTCCTGACAAAAATTTCATTTTCGACACTGAATTTTTTAGCAGCAATGCCTGAAGAAGCTGAGATAGTTAACAATCGCAGCAGTGTCCCCGACATTTCTTCTTTTGTGGCAGAATTCCTTTCCAACTTTATCATTTGGTAATCTCGAAATCACATCAATCAATCTGATCACAAGCTTCTTCTTTTATGTATTTTGTTGCACATTACGTTTTTATAAGCTCTGTTCTGCTTCTTCTTTTTTCGTGTGTGTGTCTAGGCTCTGAGCTGTTCGTCATGTGCATGGCTTGAGGAAGAAGCCGACAGATGATTTAATCCTAGAAGTTCTGGATTTTCTTCTTTCGAAGACTTCTGCTGCGAAAGCTCGACTATCTGCATTCCTTGCTTATCAGGCAAACTTTCAGAATCTGGAAAATGACTCCAATATTTTTGTTTTTAATTATTTAATTACTTAGGGTTTGGCTTTTAACTTAATAGAAATTGAAATAATGTTATTTTAATACTTAATCTGGGGTCAGGATAAAATCGATAATTTTTTTGGTTATTAAATTATTGTTGTTTATATTGGTTGTAGGAAGACGAGGAAGATGATTCTGCAACATCTTCTCATCCAATTTGTGGGGGGAAATTTTTGCCAGAGATCTTGTTATTCTGTTACTTTCTTGAGCTGATATTTATGGTTGAACAGAGAAGATATGAAGAGTTTATATTAGCTTTGCATGATGTTTCTCTGGCCATTGCCTCTGTTCCAGTAGTTTAATGTAAATGTGCTGTGTTGTATTCTTCTCAGGCTAAAATTCCAGTAGTTTAATGTAAATGTGCTGTGTGTGTTGTATTCTTCTCAGGCTAAAACTTGTTCCATGGATGGCCTTAATCGACTGATGGATATAAACGTAGTAGAGCCTGTAACTATTGGTGCTATAGCAGCTAGGTTGTACTTCTATTACTCATATATACCCATGAGGTCTCGGGTGATCTTGCTGAAAATCGTCGGTAAGAAAATGTTTGTGTTGATGTTTCTTGATTCGTCTATCTCTGAACTTGTAAGAGAAAGATATTGGCATGGTTGGAAACTGTAATTTTGTGTTGAACCAATGCATTCATGGTAAGATGGAAGAATCAGGTAATTTGAGGGCTTGCTTTGTTCTCAAATATGATCAGATTGTTGTCTTAGTGCTGTAATTTTATTTTCAGTGCCCTCTCTGGCTTGCATAAAGTTGCCATTTTGAACCATGATGAGCTGGGACAGGTTTGTTACTAGTCGACCTGAATTGTTTGGAAATTCAGTAGCTCATATGTGATACAGTGACAATGATGCAGGAAACACTAATCAATATGTTGCTTCGTAATTACCTGCATTACAACCTATATGACCAGGCAGAGAAATTGAGGTCAAAGGCACCAAAATCTCAATCATGCTAAAATCACCGGGTGTGGATTTTGCTTCTGGTATAGATATCTCTTCCTGTGGATCGCTTGTTGAAAAAACGTAAGGAGAAAAAGGTACCTGTTTCTGTTTTAAATGGTCTAGAGTCTAGACCTTAATTTAACAGGGGAAATACATGGCCTTGTCAAAATAAAAAAAACCGGACAAAACATAAGGAGAAGGAATCTGTTTGTATTTTTGCTGGTGGCACTCAACGTTAAAACCTGCTCTTTGTAGCTTTACCGATACTTGTTTTGTCTTGGAAAGATTCGGACAATTGGACTGGAATATTCTGATGTAAAAGAAAGATTTGTGTAAGCTGATCAGACAGCTCCTGTTGCAGCTCGTAGCTTTCGAATTCAATGCAACAAGTGGGCTGTCCTCGTTCGTTTACTGTTGGGAGAAATACCTGAGAGGACAATCTTTACTCAGAGTGGAATGCAGGGGGCTTTGAGGCCATATTTCGAGCTTACAAATGTGAGTGGCTTCCCTTTAAGTGGTTTAGTTGACATGACTTCCCTATAAATGGATAGAAATGGGCATGCCCATTTCTATCCATTCATCTGAACAGTAACGACTATCTGATTAATCTGTCAGGCTGTACCAATAGGTGACCTGGAGCTGTTTAGTGATGTCTCAGAAAATTTTGCTGGCATTTTCTTATCAGATAGAACAACCAATGTGATTGTTTGACTGCGACATGGTTTCATAAGGATAGGACTGCGCAATATCAGCATCTGCTATTCTAGCATCTCACTTGATGATGTTGCTGATAAATTGAGGATGCATTCCACAAACCATGTTGAAAACATGGTAGCTAAGGCCATTAGCAATGGAGCAAATGAAGCTAAAATCGATCATGCAAATGGGTGGTTAACATTGAAGGAGACCGGAGACATTTACTCTACAGCCGAGCCACAGGCTGCCTTCAGCTCTAGGATTGCTTTCTGTCTTAACTTGCACAATGAGGCTGCATGGCCCCCACTTTCTATGGAAACCAGCAAGTCAAATACTTATGGAGCACAACTTGCCCTATTAGCAGAGGAACATGGTAAGTATCTTTAGAACCATGCTTCATTATTCTCAGTTTCCGCCCTTTCTTGCCCCAGTTTCTATACTCTCTTTATTAAGCAGATAAATTTGTTTCAGTATCATAAGAACAGAACCTGCATTTCCATGATGGAATCAGTATGTTACTTTGATTGGATATGGCAAACAGACTATAGCCTCAGCTAATATGATCATAATCTCTTAACGTGATTTTATTAATGTTAATGTTCGGAAATGTTGCGGGCTGATCCCAGATTCTTATTTACTGTCTGTAATTTGCTGTATTTATAACTGGAATTAACTGCATTGGTGGATATTTGTATAACACTGAGAATCCTAATATGCTCCATTACCTATCCAAGCTTGGGCAACATATACAACTGAGTGGAGTCGGTTCCTGCCCAGTGCAGACAAACCTTCTATTACAAGGGTTAGATTTGAACTTGAAATCCCCTCGAAAGAAGTAGGGCACAAGCTCTCAATTTGTCCCTCGAAAGACAAATCGAATTTATGGATATATACTCTACAACTAAGCCTGACCTGTCATATGAATCCTCCTTAAAGAACCGAGGATGGTAGATATGTCCAGGAAGACCAAGGTACTTTGGTCATATCTCTGATTTTTAGGGACCACATCCCTTATCTTATTGGGGGATAAAATCATATCTTCGAAATTTCTTGTATTGTGGAAATTCCATAAGCTAGAATGCTGCTTCAACCTTGTAATAACTAAAACTACCTGTGACTTCTGATCCTGTTAAAACAATAGATCTCGGAATATATTAATAATTATCCAAGTGTTTCATCATATCAAGAATTTAGAACCAAGGACAGAAGCGAATAACGAAGAGGCTATAAAATTTATACTCGTAAATGAATATATTTATTCAGAAAACAAGAATCTCCTCCGTTCAATTAGCTAATCTCATGTGGATGATGTGATTCCAATCATTTTTTCCATAAAACAAAGAGACTCCTAGCAAGTCCATGTTTTGTTGCTGAATTTTATTATCATATCAGATCAACTACCTGTAAATGTGCTTGTTGATTGGCTCAACTTAGTGTAGTTCACACTTGTATATGATTCCAATTATTTTCCCTTGTTTTTTTCTCCCCTCCCAATTCCCACCAACCTACGCGTTGCCAATCAAGCTCATCGATTAGACTGCCAAATCATGGTTTTGCTTTGACTGTGTAAACTTGGCCTAGCATGTTGGATCAATTCAAGATCTAGTACGAAATAGGTTTTAAGAAAATTGGGCAGAGTTGACCTTGTTAAATTTAAATAACCTGGTGAGTTAACTTTTAATCCAATCAAACCCAATTTCATTTTAATTTTATTGATGTTGGTCAAACCTCAAGGAAAATATTGATTGTAAAGAATATTATTTAATATTTTTATTTAAATCATTTGGTGAAAATTTTCATATGTTGAGAATCCCATATATAAACTTAATGTTGGGATTTTTTAGAAAACATTCCGAGGAGAATCTATCAAGGTCAACATTATTCAATAAGGGTAAAGGGATCACAAAACTCTCTGCAGCTGCTCTCGAGTTTCTTCACAGAAGGCCCTTCCTGCTTACAATAACCTAAGCCAAGGCGAAATAATAGTAAAATTTCTAGGCCCTCCATGGACATGGGTGCATTACTTTTTATAAATAAAATCCAATAAACAGTTAAAAACAAAACCAAGATGGTTTTGTAGAACCCTAAATCTTGTATCAACATATCTTAACAGGATATATATATTTAACAACTCATCACCTTCCATGTGCACAAGACACATGATACATGTCATTGTATCGTATGGGGCAGAGCATCGCCATGTGAGGCAATATGATATGATATTACAAAAATAAACATGTTGTCACATAAAACCACTGAAGTTGTGATTCTATGTCTTCAAATACCAACAACTTACCTATTAAAAGAAACCCATAAAACAACAATTTGGTTAGTGGTTTCGAATGCTTCACGGCTCTTCTGCTGGGTGAGTGCATGTGGACATGCAATGAGAGAGTACGAGAACGTGGGAATAATTGAATGAGGTTCAGAATTCTGCAGTCTTTCAGAGGTCACATGTGAGGTTGTTGCATGAAGTCAGTCTGCCTCCGGTCCCTTATTTATAGAGGCAGTTCTTGGACTTGGAAATGCCAATAAATGTAAATACACTAGCTACCAGCCTACCACCAATCCTCACTCTCCATTCTCTTATCATTGTTTCGGTAGTATTCATCTTTTCAAGAGATGGGAAAATTTCTTTTGACATTTGCAGTCTTGCTTCAGTTCTGCTCTTATTTGGCTATCAATGTTAATGCGTTTGCTCCATCTGGGTGGAGGAAAGGTCATGCTACATTTTATGGAGGTAGTGATGCCTCAGGAACTATGGGTATGTAATGTAACTACACTCCTTGCATCTTTTCTTGTCTTCATTTTTTGGAAACATCACAGCTAATAGCGTTTCATTTCTTTAAAATCTGGGCTACAGGAGGGGCTTGTGGATATGGAAACTTGTATTCTGCTGGTTATGGGACCGGGACTGCTGCTTTAAGCACTGCTTTATTCAATGATGGAGCTTCATGTGGGGAATGTTACAGAATTATGTGTGATTTTCAAACAGACCCCAGATGGTGTATTAAAGGCAAGTCTGTGACCATTACTGCAACAAATTTCTGCCCCCCTAATTATGCTCTTCCAAACAACAATGGAGGCTGGTGCAACCCTCCTCTCCAGCACTTTGATATGGCCCAGCCTGCTTGGGAAAAGATTGGTATTTATAGAGGAGGAATCGTGCCTGTTTTGTTTCAAAGGTATAGTACTAATCACATGCATTGACCATTCTTTGTCACAAGTTCTTTCTTTTTTCATAATCTAATATTGTATCATATGGGATAATGATGCAGGGTTCCTTGCAAGAAGCATGGAGGAGTCAGATTCACCATTAATGGAAGAAACTACTTCGAGCTTGTCTTGATTAGCAATGTGGCTGGAGCTGGATCCATTCAATCTGTGTCCATTAAAGGCTCAAAAACAGGCTGGATGGCAATGTCAAGAAATTGGGGAGCTAACTGGCAATCTAATGCTTATCTCAATGGCCAGTCTTTGTCCTTTAAAATCACAAGTACTGATGGACAGACCCGATTCTTCACGGACATTGTTCCAGCAAACTGGGGATTTGGCCAGACTTTCTCTAGTTCAGTACAGTTCTAAAATAATTATCAGCAGCTTTAGAGTTCAGAGTCTAAATTGGCCGAGGCGTGCTTATAATTTTACTAGAGCAGCCCGCCACAATTATTTTTCTGATGATGGCTGGGACAATAAGGTTCTGGCTCTGGATTATGATTTGAAGAGGGAGGGTGAGGAAAGGAACCCATGGACTCAAGGCTAGCTGCTACTGAGCTGTTGTGCTTTAGTGATCACGGATTTGCAGAGTTGTATTTTTGTATTTATATAGTTATTGCAACTTAATATGAAGCGCAATCATTTTGCAGCTTAATAATATAAATAATATTTTTGTTTTGGTTATCTTAAGCTTGTAAAATTATATTTGTCAAGACCTGATTATAGGATTGATCTATAAAAACCCGAGTTATTGAATTAACCTACCAGTTATTTAAGTCAATAAAATCTACTATTTTTTTCTCGAAGATGACAGTTAAATTTGAATTAGGTTAATTAAATTTGAATTAGGTTAATAAATACTCCATCGAATTAATCAATTTTTATCAAATTAATATCTTTTTAATTCTATTTAAAACCTAACTCAAGTTATACTTTAAATGTTTTGAGCTTGTAAAAAAAACAATTTTCAAAAACTCTTGCAAAGATTTGAGCTTGATTTAATAATTAGATCAAAGTTATTATATTTTTGAGCTATTATTTTGATTTGGTGTAATCGACATTCTTTTGAGTTTAAACTTGTTGGTTGGTTGTCAACACTTCTAAAATATAATTATGATTTTACCATCACAAATAAAATAATTTCATGGTTTGATTGTGAAGACTAAGTTAAATTCAAGGGAAATTTTGTTTAATCTTCCTACAAGATATCATAATAAAAAAGGACATAGGTGATTTGAATAAAAAAAATCAAAGAAACACAATTATGAAAATAAAAATGATAAATCAATATGTCAATAATTTAGTTTAAGGGTTTAGAATTCATTCCTATAAACTTGTTGATCATCAAAGTAAAACAAATATCATTTCAATTCAAACAAATAAATTTGACATTCCTTAAAATTAAAAGAAATTAAAGAGATTATGAGTAAATTAATTAGACAAAGCTTTCCAATCAATTTCTTATTATTAAACAAATTTAATATTGAAAATCAATTTTTATTCACTTGTCAATAACCTTATAAGAAAAGTCTATAGAATTTATTCTAATTAACCGTTTAAAAACTTTGGTAATTTAATTTAGCTTATTCCTTTCTAATAAATTAAAGTGATAGTTGCACCAATTAAGTTAATTCATTTGCCTTTTATTCTAGTCTCTAATAACAATTATGGATACATTCCAGCACCTGGCTTAAGGAAGGGGCTTGTCTCCTTCCACTGCACATAGGTTCGAGTCCTGGCGTGCACGTCTGTCACTCCCGCGGTGTCTTACCTGCCTACTGGGTTTGCAGGGTATTTAGTGGGCCGTGGGGATTAGTCGTGGTACACGCAAGTTGGCCCGGACACCCCATATAAATAAAAAAAAATAAAAAATAAAAAAAATAACAATTACGGATCGAAAGAAACTAGAAAATATATATACCATTTTAAAACAATTCAATAAGCATGAAGAAAAATTAATGATATAATTCTAAAATAAAGATAAATAAGTACTTGATTATTAAAAAATTACAATGTCAACGTTACTTTTCACAACTTGATAATAAAGATTATGTCCATTCCCCTTGAATCAAAATTAAAAATTAGTTACTCGTGATATTTGAAAATTCTAATAGCAAAGATAATTTGTCCCCTAAATTCCTATTAACCAATAATGTCCTACTCCTCTATGTTTTTATCCTCTCATCCTCTCTTTGTTTTAATAGGCAACCTTAGCTAAATATTACGAGGTTATATATTGTAGAGAAAATTTATGTGATCTTGTCAAATTTTTTTTTAAGATAAAACACATAAATTGTTAGTTTCCTATCAGATCATGAAATAAAACCCATAACCCAGCTTGCATCAAGATTTTTATTTTGGAAACAATTTTTCTAACCTTAAACCCTCGTATAAAAGTTGTATCCTTGATTGTGTAGATAAATTTGAGCTTTTAATTCTTTTGATTTAGATATCTAAAACTTAAGATATAATTGTTTAAATATTTGATATGAAAATAAAGAATCTTATTGCAAGTAGGATTTTGGATTAATTTTACAGGTTTGAATGGAGGCCTAAATAAAATCGAATTTTTTCTCATAATGTTTTTTTGAAAAACTTGATACAAGTATTATAACTTAAATTATACCCATGTTTCCATTTTGAAACTCTAACTTAGTAAAATACTTGTTATAATAAGTAAGATTCAAAAAATAAAAAATAAAATATTTTATTTTTTAACAATTAATTTATAAAATTGTTTAGGCATATCAAATTCAAAAAATAACTTCTAATAAGCTCAAATAAACTTAATATACATTAAAAAACATGATGTAAAAGGAATAAATTTATATATATATATATATATATTGTACTTATCATATGTTCAATTAGTCTATAAATATATTTATTAAAATATTCATATAATTTTTTTAAAATAAATTTTTATTTAGTCATGCCATACATGTATACCTTACTAAAATTCATTTAATATAGCGAGGCTCGCTACATCACGAACTGATCTGGTAACCCACAGAGCAATACGGTTAGGTTTCACGTGGGCCAATTAGAGAGTTTGAGGCAAATTCTCAAATATTAGCAGCCCACACATGAGGTAGTTTTAGGAAAATTCTCAAATAATAGCAACCCAATTTAAAACCAGGAACTAAAACAAGTTGACGAGCAAGGGTGTCTTTGGAATTATAAGTAGTTTTAATGTGTTTATTTATTTAAAAATATATTAAAATAAAAATATAATTATTTTTTATTTTAAATAAAAAATTCAAAATTTATTATGGAAATACACGTGAATACGAAGAAAAAACTTGTGTTTTTTTAATTTTTTTTTTATTAAAATTTAATATAATTTATATGTTTGGGATTGTTTTGATGTATTAATATTAAAAATAATTTTTAAAAATTAAAAGAATATTATTAATATATATTTTAATATAAAAAAATATTTAAAAATTAACTATGAGAGTACCAAACACACTCGAAGAGTTGCATCAGCTGCTTTTACCTGACATTTGTGATCTTTCTATCACTCCTCCATCTTCTGTTCAAACCAATTTCGTCTCCTACTTCGTTCCAGGTTTCTGCTTTCTTTTTCGTTTTGCTTGATTGATGATGCTTAACAAAGCAAATACTTTTCTTAATTTGTTGAATTTTGGATCAGATTTTGTGAAGCCAGGACACGACCAGTACGTTTATAGACATGCCATTGGGTAGTATTTTAACTCTTTTGTTAAAATATATGTGGGGTTTTGATTAATTGTTTATGTATTGTTTTTGTGATGAAAAAAAGGTTGTGTGTTTGGCTCCGACCGATGTGGCTTTTAAGGACACAGGAGGAATCACGGCTGTTGATTTCAATGTTGGAAAGTCTGATCGTAGTGGCATTAAGGTCACTGGAAAGCGAAAAGAAGTCCATTCTTTTGTTGGTTTTAGCCTTTTTTTATTGTATAACAATTAAGCAATTTTCCTTAGAATTGAGCAAGTGGTGTGAAGAAAATGGCAATATCTAGACAATTAAAAGTTCTATGACTAGTAGCTTGGTTGGTTTCTTATAAGCTAGCTTTTGAGTTGGTGGGGATAATTGAATTTACATTACTAACATGGTTGCAAGCATCAAGCTTTGTTTGTTAGGGCTTTCAGGACATTTTAGTTGCTTAGTGATCAAGGGTGGAAGTTCACCATCTAATTTGGCTTTATCTGAGTCATATACCGGAACAATCAGAGGATCAGTTTGAAAAATCAGTTGGATTCCACTTCTTTTAGTGGCATTGTTTCTTTTTGTGCACATTGGTTTTGTGGCTTTCATATCATCGGAAGCACAATTGGCCAGTTTAACATAACTGGGCTAAGAAATCTGAGCTGATTGCATTGAGAGGTAACTTTGACTGCCTCGGAGGGCAAGGATTTCTACAGATTAGTCAGATTTCTGTTTTGTAATGTTGCATTTAGGATCAGGAGTTGATTTGTTTTCTTATGTTCTCATTTAGCCAACTTTTACTAACCATAGAGAGCATCTTTTGCAGAATGTACAACACTTTGAGTCTGACTCTGCTCTGTGAAAAGTTTGCACCCAGAGCGATTCTTATATTGTAAGGTACATCTATTTTTCAGTTTCACACCTCCTCCTCCCTTCGTTCCTTCTTTTTAATATTGGAGTTGAAATTTGTCATTGACTTCTGACAGATGTTGTGTTAAAGGCTCTCTGTTGGAAGTGAATGACAGGCTAATCAAACATTCAAAATTTGCTGAACTCTTCAGTAAGTATTTCTTATCCATGCTTACCAAATGTTAGATGCAAGTGTCTATGCGTGTTTGGTGCTTTTTAAAAATGTTTTTCGCTTGAAAATGTGTTAAAATATTTATATTTATATTTTTGATGTCAACACATCAAAATCATTTGGTAACACTAAAAAAAACATCGATTTGATGATTTTTCAAGAAAAATGTACTTTTGAAACACATCCAAGTGCAATTGAAAACTCACTCCCAAGCTTTTTAAAAATGTTTTTCGCTTGAAAATGCATTAAAATATTTATTTTTTACTTTTGATGTCAATACATCAAAATCATTTGGAAACACTAAAAAAAACATTGATTTGATGATTTTTCAAGGAAAATGTACTTTTGAAACGCATCCAAGTGCAATTGAAAACTCACTCTCAAAGTGCAATTGAAAACTCACTCCCAAGCAGACACTCTTTACTAGATAGGATCTCGTTATTGAATTAGTGATCAACAAGGACAATACTTTTAGGCAGTGATTTTCATATCAGCCTCTAAAATCTCCTATTCCAAAACATATCATCACCCCCTTGAGAAATTAACTTGCTGATTGGTGAGAATCGATTCTTGCCACTAATTAGATCTCATATCTTCTCTTTCATCTGATGGTTCTGTTTTTAGCATGTAATAGTGGTTTGGCAACCCACATTGATGATTTCATCTGTTGTTGGCAGACAGGGAAGGGTACATTGCCATTATCATGCCAAAGCCAGCAGATTGGCCGAAGGTCAAAGCTTCATTGTTGGGCCTTGAGGAATACAAGAAACTGAGAGAAAATAGCTGAGCTATTTGGGATGCTTGGAAAAGTTTTATAGACTTCGAGAATAACAAGGAATTCAAGCTTCATTTGGAATCCTCCGGTCACCAATTCTTTGATGGGCCTCACCCCCAGGTTAATTTCCTAACTGTATCTAGTTCTTATCTTGTCATTTTTGTTTCTCCACAAATAGAATAAGAAACAGAACAGTATCAGATTATGCTTTTTTTGCTAATACTAGTAAGAATAGGTGAGTTAATTTTTTACCTTAAAATTCCCTTTGTGATACTGAATATTGAGGTCTGTGTTATGCAAGTGGCACAATATCGTGTGGATGAGTTATGCTACCTATTGGGGCAGACCTAGGATGTCAAGAAAACTGCTTTTTTTTTTTTTGTTTTTTGCCATAGAACATGTTGTGTTGCAAGAGAGCTGTGCTTGCAAATTCTTTGATGATTACTCTTAATTTATGATATCAAAATATTCACTTCAGGAAAACCTGACAAAGATGGGATGCTTACTATGCAAATAGGTTCTGACCAGGGAAGACCAGGGAAGAAAGCTAAATATATGCATAAACATTACAGTCAATGCTGGGTAAGAGGGAATGTATATTAATGGTATATCTTGTCAATATAAACTGCTGGAAGTTGGGTAATATGCAGGGAGACTATAATTAATGAATGGTAATCTGGATATATACAGGGTTGAAATTAACAATAGAATTGATAAATAAATCATGGGTTAGCAAATGGCATTGGATGTGCCTTGTAATCTAGGTAAGCTCAGCCTAGGGAGAAGCAATTTCTATCTGGAGCCTGTATTGTAACACCAAAGATCACCTGTTACCACTATCTCTCCAAATATTTTCATCATCCTTGTAAGATTTTTTGTTGATGATCATCAGCTCTACTATTCTCGGGTGCAACCATTATCTCTTCCATCACAAGCCTTCTGGATCTATTTATGGTATGAAAACACAGGTAGATGTGTTGCTCGAGTTCTTCTAGCTGCTCCAGATAGCACAAGTCGTGAGTGTGAAATTCTTTCACGACCTCTTTCAACAGTTCAGGTTTTTTATTCCTAACACACATATCAGCAAGAGCTTTACGGTGTTCTACCTCATCAAATAACCTCCTCACGAGTCTACTCATGGTATCAAAATCTTTGATCAATATGTAAGTTCCTTTGGCTGCAAGATCTAGCTGTGCACCAAGTCTTTTTTGAAGCAAGCTTGTCTCAAGCCCTCGATAAACCAACTTGATTTGCTTTCTGAATACATACAACGAGCAACCCATTATTCCTGGTGCAGCCACAATGCCAACTATGCCATGGATTGCAATTACAAGCAAGGCAATTAGAAGTGCAGTATGTGATATGAAAAGACACCCTCCTCCAACCTTCATGCATACCCTTTTGAACTTTGCTTTCCTCGTAATCTTTCTTTGTTCTGAATTCAATCCATGGAGCAACACCAGGTTGTTATCATGAAAATCATTGAATTTTACAGTGGTCAAAAACATCGATAGTGGATTTTCAAGCAATGCATACGCAGCAAGCTCTCTAAACATTGCTATGCAAATCTTATCTGAATAATCTGCAGAATCTTGCACCCTTTTGCTTAGCTTGATTACCCTTGTAATTTTCTTATAATTAGCACGTTTTTGCTGGATGCATTGAAGAAGCAAATCGCAAATATGACATGCTTCTGATCTGGCATCAAAGTAATCAATCAGAAAGTGATGAAACCTCAAGCTTTCTATCATCTCTTTTCGAGTCGCTTGCTGTTGTGGTTCAAACATATAATCAGAGAGAAGGAGATAGAAAGGAAGAGATGAGGACGGTGAGGTGACTTTGTCAACTCCATCACCGTGTGTTTTTCTTAGCTGGTCTTGAACCTTGCTCCGCATTTCCACATAGGACTTCGTCCTGAAAGCTTCCTTGTATTCCTCATTAACGTTCAACTTGTTGCCGCTAGCACGTTCCTTTGGAGATCTTCCTAAACCAGAAAACAAACATCATCACTCAAAATAGGAAGAAGAAAAGAAATAAAAACTCAAGTTCTTGATAGCACCATAAAAAATTTAACTAAATCAAAACTAGAAAGTTTATGAACACCTTCTAAAAAAAACACTAGCATAATTTAAAGATTTTTCCAAAATATACATGGGATTTTGAGAACTCATGTTTGAGAAGTACAAGATGATGTTGAAACACACCTGCCCTCGAAAAGGTTGATTTTAACTTGGCCCACAAAAGCTTTGCCATGTTGATCAACTCCCTTATCTTTTCGGTTTCTTGACATAGATTAAAGCATGTAGTTGCACATATATAGGCGGCAATCTGAATTTGAAACAAAGAGATACGAGGGATAAAGAAACCAGATTGCTGTAAATGGCACCGCCTCACACGATAACATCCCTCACACGTTATGTATATCTTACGTGTAATGCCTTGGGACAAAGCTTCTGCAAGCAGAAACAGTGTTGGCAATATAGGTTGTCTTCGCAATCTCTCATACGTTGTATGATAATTAGTTAACATGGAATAAATTCTGTATAATCATTATTATCGTTTCCCTTTTTCGCGGAACAAATTATGACTCAGTCTTAATTTTAAATGAAAATCATGTGCGATTTATCGTAATATCAACCGGATATCTATCAATTAACTTGAGGATGCTACGTGCTCTGGTGATTGCCGCCTCCAAATTATCAAATAAACGCTGTTTTGAATATGAACGTTATACTGTTCTATAGTTTATTTTTACTCGAAATTTTCAGGGTGTTAAAGTAATTAAGATATGGGATTTGGTACGTAGTGTTGTAAATAATATAATTTAATATAATTCAAATTTTTTTAATTGAAGTATTTAAATCTAATAGGTTTTCAATCTAATATTAAAAAAATAAAATTTTTTTCCAGTATTTATATAAAAACTATAATCTAAACTAGTAACCAGCAAAAAAGAATCAGAGACTCGCATATACAAGATTTGATTGAATAAAGGAAAATCTTTATTCGCCGCGTTTGAGGCAATGTCGGTACTTTGGTGCCTTTATTTTGTTTCTATTTTGTTTTATTGTTTTGTTACCAACATATAGTTATTAAATTTGAATTGAATTAAGTTATTAAACTAATATACTGTCAACCATGTTTTTATAAAAAAATTATTTTTTATTTTATTTTTTATTAAAAAACTTTTAAGTGTTAATATATTAATTTATTAGGGTTTTATCGGGTAAATTAAATCACTAACGAGTCAATGTATTTTTTTATTTTCAACTTAAAATTTTATCTTATTTAGGTAGTAAGTTTTCAAGTCAGTTAAATTGGATTTAATAATTATTAATTCATTCTTTACAAGATAATGTTATTTGTCTTAAAATATTCGTCTACGAATTTATAGCAATTCCCTTTTACTTTCACCTTCTTTCGTTTGCTTAATTGCTTGAGATTTAAATTTGTAATTTCCAGCTGCCGTCCAAAGCATTTGAAAAATCTTTTGATATACAATTAAATTTTTATAAATTAATATCATTTGAACATAAAAATTTATTAATTAATAAAGATATTATTTAAACTTTAAATTTAATTTAGGATCGAACAAAATATTATTTAATTAATATTATTAATTTATCAAGGTTATATATATATATATATATATTATCTCTCGAACAAAAAACTTGATCATCTTTACTGTGGAGAATCTTGATTTTGTGCATGCTTGTACCATCCCATAAGCATATGATCAAAGTTTTTAACTTATTTTGGTCTCCGTGGTATCTTTAAGTAATGGTCATCGGTTTTTAGGTATCATTAAAACAATGGTGTGTGTGTGCTGATTGATTAATATATTAATGCTATAAATAAATTTTAAAAAATAAAAAAAATATTATTTTTATATATTTTTAAATAAAAAATATTTTTAAAAATAATTACAACAAGAGGACACCCAATCCAACCAATTATATGACTTCGATTCCTAGAAGTAAAAGCATTTATACAGTGCTTCCTACGTTTCCTGATTATTTGTTTTTGAAAAATTTTTGGTTAAATCATTCAAGATGCAAAGGGACTCGACAAAGATTCCCAATTTATAAATATTATTTAAGCCTCTTGATAGATTGATTAAAAATGTCATGTAAGTTGAGATAGCAGAAAAAACAAATATTATATATATCATGTAGTAATATTTGTTTATTAATTAATGATTGTTTTAAAAATATTAATAATACTTGATTTATAGACTGAGAAAGATTGTACTTGAGACATTAATTAGAGTTTTTAAAAGTTGATAACATTATGAAATATTGTAAAATGTGTCAACTATTTTAGAGTATAATTATCATAATGATTACATAATAAATTAAGTAATTTCCTAATACTCTTTCTGAAAAATAGATTATTGAAATTCAATACCAATAATTTTTGTATAATAAAGAATGTCTAATATGATTCAAGATAACTAAAAGTGACAATAAAAAATAAAATATAATATGTTCTGGTGTTTTAATAATTCTTATTATAATTTCTACGGGTGATTATTATTAATAATATCTCCATATATGTTTGTTTTGAATTAATATTTTAGTTTTTTAAAAAAAATTAAGAATACTTTAATTATCAAATAAACGGTTTTATTTATCCCTTTCTTATTTTTGAGAACATCGTTAAGTTTTTTGTTTGTCTTATACTAAATTTCTAACACCCTCAAATAGAGACTGATTGTCATCGATTAGTTGCTAATCATACTTTTTCTCTAAATTTGGGAGTTCATAACTTCTCTTCAATCCCCCTGTTGTTCTTCCTTCATTCTTCGGGAAGGTAAAGAAGAGGACAAGCTTGATGAGCAGGCGGCACGCTCATTTGGTAAACTAGCTACAAGCCTCCCTAACATGGTTACACATCATCACACTTGTGCCAAAGTAATTGTGGCAGCTTCTTCTTCTCTCCACATTATTCACGTTTAGTGGGCAAAATTATGTTTGCGAACTTTATCTTTGATAAAGCCTCCAAATTTACCTGCCGAAACTGAATGGTGGTAGCACACGATATGGCTGCCTTTTGAGCCGCAATTTGCCTTAGAGCTCCAAGAGATTCTTGCCTCCACTCCAATGCATCTTGCAACCTGACAGAATTAAGATTTGAGCTAGCTTTAATATGTGACATTAAAAGTTGGCAACGTAGATTGCTTGTTTCAAAGTAATTATGCAATTTCTTCCCAGCAAGGGTGGTTCGTATGCATGAAACGGGGGTTTATCCAGAGTTTGGAAACCTCCCATTGATAATTATTCATGCTCTAATTATCATTGTAGGTCATGATACTGAGAATTAGAGGTCTGGAAATAACTGTAGGGTCGTATTTGATTGTGTTATGGAGACTCAAACAATTATTGATTGAGATCAACACTTTCTGTACCCCACAGCAAGTGTTGATCCAATGGAGATTTTGTTTTTATGTACAGCAGCAAGGCCAATAAGGTGAGCGAAATAGACATTCACAGAAGGCTTTAGCACGTCCTCTTGGGGTTCGTGGTGAACGATCACAAAGCTTGATGATGCAGTGCTGCAGCTACTGCTCCTACAAATGGCCAAAACAATCTATTCGCACTTCCTAAAGCAGATTTAAGTTATGAGGGACAAGACAAATTTAGCCAAATTTAAAGTACAAGCCTGATCATTCCAGGCTTTTTCATTGTTATAAATAACAGCTAGCAGCCTCAAAGCTTCGAGCTGGGTTGATTCCAGTTCCTGTTATGGGGATGGTGGCTAAATGCACATAAATACCGCAAACCCTTACAACAGCGTGAGAAAAACGTGCACTACGCTTAGGATCAGTAGCAGAAAATACAGTGTAGACTAATACAAAAGTCCCAATAAATGCCTAAAGCAGTTCCTTGGTGTGTAGGAGACACCATATTAGCACCAACTCTTTCTGCTTTATGTAAGTCTTTCATATATGCCTTGACCAAACCCACTCCACCTGTTGCTCCCAGGCATTGAGCCACTGCTCGTATCAATGATACCATTCTTTGCTAGGAACAGACAGAATGTCACAGCTGGATTAATATGATCCCCTGTGATATACCAAGAAATTCACTTCAGAAATTTAATTATAGCTTAAATAAATAAAGGGAGGAGAATCTGTGCAGTGTTTGGACCTGAACGAGGATAGATATCATGCCACCAAAAGACCATGCAATGCCTAATTAAAAGGCCAACACCATTACAGGGGTCAGCTTCCTTATTGCAGCCAATTACGGTGGCAATAGTGACAGAAGAAGAGAAGGGATGCTATGAGGTTCTCAGTAATAGTCCTATAAAAGGACCATATAACCGAGCTCTTCAGGGTGGAAAAAGTGGTGCTGATGATGGTTCGACATGGTCTCTTACTCCTTCGATCATCACGATATCCTAAAGATCCTTCCAAGTGTAAATTTTTAAGATCAAGCTCTTCTTTTATTCTGCAATTTTTCTTGTTTTCTCACTGAACTATACTGTAAAAGACTGAAATTTATGTGAGAGCTAAGGCAGCACGTGCTTCGAAAAAAAGAACAGACGGACAAGTTTATAACTTTATGTGCTGTTAACAGGACTATGGATTCTGTCTGGTCACTGATGTGGCTGGGGATTACTGGCTAAGGATTTGATTAGTTTGTAATGGATAATCATTCATCAATGGTGGGATTCTGGGCTCGTAATGCAATTCCAAAACAGGTTGGATTTTTCCTCGCTTAAAGCCCATCGTATGGTTCTCTACGAGCTAGCTAACACTCCACTCCATTTGTTAGTTGGAAGCTTAATTATCTCTTGAAACTTGGAATTTGATTTCTGGTTGGCTATTGGGTGTGGTAGTTGCCAATAAAATCTTTCATCCTCCCGGGTCACATTCTATTTCTGTTAAGGTGGGTGACCCAATCTCTCAATCCTCCGAGCCCTTGTCCCATTAAATTAAAGTCTGGCCACTTAATTATGATTATAAATGTGAAATTTATGACAATTTACCATTCCTGTAAACAAAAATGAGCCAACCCAGGTCTGCAATGGCTGTTTATTCTAGGAAACACGCCAAATATATACTAAAGGAAAGAAGCTCACGAAATTAAGATCAACAAAACAAAAGGAAATACTATATATGTGAGGGAGCTTTCTGCATCTCTAAATGTTTGAAGACATTCCAGCATTGTCAATGAAGAAACGATATCTAATATCGTTTCTTGCAAAGCAGCCCCGAGCTTCATTGATGTAGTCTGGTTTCACAGGCTCAGTGTCACAACTTATGTTGTGTTTGCCACGCACATTCAGCGTCTCTTGTGTCTCTCTCGTTGATCCTGTCATGCTACCCTTTGCAGATCTCTTGTCTGCGAAAATTGAACAAAAAGGAGAGCAAAGGAGCAAGACCTTGTTTACCCTTTCATATTTGATCATATATGTATCATTTAAGCTTCAAAAAATTAGAGAAGAGATTGCACATCAATTAATTTACCTGATATCGGAGGAAAAGCTGGCGGCTCAATCGGCTTGTGTGGTGCTCCCAGGACCGCTACCTTGAGTAATTCCAGCATTGCCCCCAAATAATGCTGAGCTGACACTGTATCCACGATGAAATCTAGACTTCTCCTAGCCGCCTGTCACCAATACACTCACACACACACGTCACAAACCTGCAGTTTTTGGGCCTTGGTGCTGACTATAAAATCATCAGCTACCGGGCGGTCTTTGGCCTCTTTTTCTTCAGATGGAGAGGTACTGATGACAGTTACGTGGCGAACAAATGCCTTGCCAAACTTCACAGCTACATGTCCAAGACCTCCAGGACCCACTCCTCCTACCCTTTTTCCAGGTGTGTCGGCCAAGTTGCTATCCTTGAAAGGATGAATGCAGTAGTTCATGCACAGAGTAGGGGCGCTGTTGCATCCATTGGAAGGTTTTTTGGTGTCCGCACCACATTCCTTCATGTCGAAATTCTACATATTAAGAAAATGCATTTTTCATAGATGTTAACAATTATCAATAACTTAATTAAGTAATTATGAGTTCACCTTTTGGTGTAGTTAAGATTTTTATAAATAAAAATAATTTTAAATAAAATAAGCTATAATAATTATGTTAGATCTAAAGTATTTGGATTGCGATAAACATATATAAACATATAGATCCAAAGTACTTTAGCTTGATAATGTACTAAGTTTAAGGTAACGTGTATTTAATGAATATATCAAAATAAAAAAAATTAGGTTTTATAGTTATTTAAATTTAATGTAACATGAGTTTGGCGAACATGTAATACCTAAAGAACTTAATAATATCTGATAATGTACTAAGTTTAAGGTAACGTGTGTTTAATGAATATATTAAAATAAAAAAATTTAGGTTTTATAGTTATCTAAATTTAATGTAACATGAGTTTGACGAACATGTAATATCTAAAGAACTTAATAATATTTAAGTTCTAACACTATATATCTAATCATAGATGATTTTTTATAATAAAAGTATAAAATACATAATAAACCATCTTGTTTATATTTATAGGTATATACAAGGTTTTTTTAAAGAACTTGTCATATTTATTATTTTATTAATAATATATAAAAAATATTTATCTTTCATTAATGTCACTGGAAGTAAAGAACTTTTAATTCTTTTCTTTTTAAAAAACGATAAGATTCAAATGATATATCTCCAAAACCATCCAGTTAAAAGGTTAGAACTTTTCATATCTTGAAATATAGATATATAGATTTTTAAATATTAACATACTTAAAACTCAAGAACAAATATCTTTATTCCTTGAATTTAAGGGCGTGTTTGGGATTTGTAGTAGCAATTGCGGTTTAAAGTGTTTTTCATTTAAAAATACATCAAAATAATATTTATTTATTTATTAAAAAATATTTTTTTATATCAGCACATCAAAACAATCTGAAAACATAAAAAAATTAAAATTTAAGGGCCAAAACATAACCTAAAGCTCTTTTAAATTATTTATTATTCTTACACAGACTCGAGTTAACTCGATTTATTTTTAGGATTTGCTTTGAATCAACATCCAAGTTGAGTTTTAAAATTATGATAATAATTATTTTTATTTTTATATATCTTAATTGAACAAATTTAAAATCAAGGTTTTAAAATTATGATAATAATTATTTTTATTTTTATATGTCTTAATTGAACAAATTTAAAATTAAAAATATTTCACTAGAATATTTTAGGAATGAAAAAAAATTGTCTTTAAGACATGTCTTCTTTGTATTTTTTTTTAAGTATATAAAATTACTCCAAAAATTTTTGTCACAGGAACATATATATATATATATATTATTTTTATTATTTTTGTCATTTAAATTCTAGAACAGTAATGAAACACGACCTTAAAACTAAGTCTCACTAAATATTAAAAAAAAGCTTTAATTTATAATTTCTTAAGAACGTCCTTAAACTGGGTGGCATAAAATTGATTCTTGACAGGCATTGCTTGGAACAGTGCACCACTGGATCAATTCAATTCCTATTTTCGTTTTCAAATCCTACCGAAAGTTTCTCTGAGACTTGCTTGCGAATCAACACTTCTCCACGAAGTAATTGGAAAGGGACTGACGTGAATCCACAGCCCTTTGATACTCATCTTCATACTTAGATGGTGTTTGGATAGACTTGTGCGGCTGCGGTTAGAAAAAAAGCAATGTAATACATGTTTGGTTAACAATGAACCGCAGTTTGTTTTTATGTGGGTCCCAATACAAATTGTTTTTTATTTTTTAAAAATTATTTTTAATGTTAGTACATTGAATTAATATAAAAATATAAAAAATATTAATTTAAAATACAACAAATTTAATTTAATTTTTTAAAATATAAAAACAAATAAAACCATTAGTTCCCTAATAAAATAGTGGTAGGTACCGTACCACACATGCCTACGGATGTGAGCAGGTGTCCATCACTTTAATATGGCATTACTTTAATGGACTCTTTTTTTTACCCAACAAATCTACCCACAATCCGATTGCTGTTTGTAAACATAAGAGACGGGTATATAAAGGACAATAGGAATATTTAAAAAATAATGATAAAAATTCATTCAAAATATATAAAATAATATATTTATTTTATATATTTGTTTTTTTTTTCTAACTAAAACATGTTTATGTATTTTCCAAAGACTTTTTCCCAAACCTCTTGAGAAAATGGCGAGATCTCGTAAGATTAGTGAACATATACTAATCTTTGAAGCAGTTGTGACATGTTGGTACAGAAGAAAAGAAGAAAGAAAGAAAGAAACAATCATAATATAATTTATTTATTTTTATATATAGTATTGAGGGTTTTTTTTTTTAGAAGGGTTTTTTCTTTTCTCCGTGTTGTTGTAGAGTTCTTTGTCTCTATTTTTTTTTTTTTAATATTCTCATCGTGAAATTCTTGAATTAAAGGAGGTAGCCAGGGACCCCAAGTGGGCAACCGTTTTCGGAAGGGATCCAAAAGGTTCGAGCCCGTAAAGTATTCATTCAAGATCATCTTAATATTTTGGGTATGGCCACTCATCAAGGATCGTGTCACAGTTTGTAGCATAATTATCACATCAATCCGAGTTTGACTTCGTCAAAGCTTTTATGTTACGAGCATTGATCTGGGTCCACTTGAAATAATTTTAAAAAATATTTAAAATATTTAAATTTTATATAAAAAATTAAAAAAATAATTTATTTAAATATAAGTTATACTGTTATAAATAATAAAGTTTAAGATATTATTTCAAAAAATCTTTTATCTCATGTTGGAAAAAATACTGTGTTAATATGATAATTTTTTAAGTTAAAATATTTAAACTAAAAAGGTTTTTTATTCCACATTAAAAAAACTTAACTATTTTTTCTTGTAAACATAAAGTTTATATATTATAATGTTTTAAATATCATATTGAAAAAATAATTTTTTTTGTGAGTATAGAATGTATATATTAAATGATTTCAAATTTTACATTGAAAAAGTAAAATATTATTCTAATATTTATATAATGAACTTTCAAAAGGGTTAACAACCAACTAAAAATATATATAAAAAAAAAATCTCAACTCAATTTTGTCGAGTCACCTAGGTCATAGGTCAACTAGATTTTGTCTAATTTTTACTTATCTCAATCTTTTGCTTTATCATGACCGGTTCAGCCATAAGATCTTGGGTCAACTCGCTAGGTCGATCTGAGTTTAATAACCAAGGTTTGTAGTGCATGCGTGGAATTATATTGTAGAATACTTTTTAAAAGTATTTTTACTTAAAATATATTTAAATAATTTTTTAAAATAATTTTTTACATTAGCGTATTGAAATTATCAGAAAACACCAAAAAAATATTAATTAAATATTTTTTAAGATAAATATATTTTTAAAATATATCTAAACGTAATTGAAAACATAATACCAAACAAACAGGGAATTTTAGAATGAAATAATTTATTTATTTTTACCTTGTTGAACTATTAGAAGTAATTATTATAAAAATTACATTGCCAAATATTTATTGATAACTAAGTTTTCAGTGATTAAATACTAAAATTTTATTTATATTTATATAAATGCCAACTTATATCTAAAAATAAAAATCGATATACCTTAAACATCATGTTGCTTAAGATGTAAGCTAATTTTATAGTTAGATTATTGACAATGTCTTGAAAAAATCTAAATAGTCGAGGAATAGAGATTTCAAGTAAGATAATCATTTAATTAATTTGTACTACCAATCTTTTTCATTCTCTCATGTCAAGGGTGGTTAATAACTTATATTTGGTGCTTGATAGGTCAACATAACTTGTCATTAGACTTATAAAAGGTCTCATTTAATGAAGGTAGAGACTCTTTGATGATAAAGTTAGTAACTTTGTAGAAAGAAAAAATAAAATGATATTTTAGAGATATAGACTTTGAAAATATATGTGCTAAAACTATTGAGAATGAAAAGATTATAAAACTTTGTTTTAAAGGTGTTATGATGTATTTATAACCCCCGAATCTTGTTCTTTTGTAAAGATGAGGGTTTGAAGTGTAATTTTATTTTTGTGATATTTTGAGTTGTGTTTTACTCAAAATAATATATATTAAATTAGAATAAAATATTAAGAAATCCCAATGAGATCCTAAAAAAAATCTCTAGTGAATGTTGAGCTTAAACAAGGTGTTCAGGCTCGTTACAGGTGAAAGTGGATCCAGATTATCATGGAGGTGATAACCTAAGCTCGTGATAAATGAAAGTAGGTTCGGATGTATAGCCTAAACTCAAATATGTTGGGCTCGAGCATGACAGCTCAAGCCTATGAAAGGTGAAGGGGGGTCTAAGCATGTTGCGTTGACCCAAACACGCTAGACTTAAGCGTGACAGCCCTAACCCAAAAGGAATGAAAGTAGGTCTGGACGCGTTGCCTGGACCCAGACATGCTAGGTTCCAACATGATAGTCTTAGCCCATGAGGAGTGAAAATAGGTTTAGACGCGCTGCTTAGACCTAAACATGCTGGGCTCGAGCGTGGTAGCCTTAGCCAATAAGGGGTGAAAACAGGTTTAGACGCGCTGTATAGACCCAAACATGTTGGGCTAGAGTGTGATAGTCTGAGCCCACGAGGAGTGAAAGTAGATTCAGATGTACTGACATGCTGAATTCAAATGTATTAGAGGTGATAAAAAGATCCAGGTATGCTGCTGAAACCTAAGCATACTGGGCTCAAGGTACGTTCCCAACCCAATGCATATAAGACTTGAGCATGGAAGCCCGAGTTTACAGAAAGTGTTGGAGGGCACATCTATGCTAGGTTGCTTTTTAGGAAGTCGAGCTCAGGCTATCACGCCTAAACTTACTCTTTTTATGCTCATGATATATTTTGGGCTCAAGATACAAGCATAGTTATTTTTGTTGGGTCCATTTTAAATAAAATTTTTGGATCAATTTTATGGTTCATTTTATTTTACTTTATAAATTATCATTTCAGTCAAAGTAAAAAAAAAAAGAAGAAAAAGTTAGTTCTCCCTTCCATGATAACACGGCTCTTTGTGGTTCTTCAAGGTCAATAAAACATTTTTTTTTTTAATTTTTCAATGTTGCATATTGATTACTTAAAATAAAAAAAGTTGGGAAAAAAAAAGTTTCAATAATTTAATTTTGAAATCTTAAGTTAATAAAATCAATAATTAAAAAAGAAGTCACATTTAAAACTTTTTAGAATTGGTGCAGACTGATTGCTATAGGTCGGAAGAAGTTGTAATTTGAATTGTAAATCATGCTTGAATGTTGTTGGATCAATCTTTGTTACTTAACCCATCTTTGGTTAATTTACGTCGTGTTTGGTTTTCGAAACATAAGAGACGAACACAATGGGATCAGAGATAAGACATTTTCTTACTATTTCTATAACTCATCTAAAAAATTGTTCTATTTATTTTATATTTTTTAATTAAAAGGTGTGTTTATTCTTTTGTGATTTTTTATTCTTTCATTGGTTCTATTCACTCTTCCGATCGTATATATTTGAGTGTATTTGCTACCATTATTCAGAACCTTCTTATTCATTATCATAGGTAAATGTAATAATATTGGCAAGCAGAAGCTTCCTTCTGCGAGGAAATACCAATGCTGTTAGGTTAATAATAATGCTGATTTATTAGTTTAGATGTAAATAATGTGATATTAGAGAGAAAAAAAAGAAGTCTATATATACATATATATTATGATTAAAGAGGCATGTAAATTTTGAATACAATGCCCTAATTGTTTTGTCTTTTAATTATTTTCGTAAAAATATTTTGTTTTGATAAACTTGTAATCAAATTTAAGGATATCTTTGCTGTTTGAAAAAAATCTTAGAATATTTTCTGGGATAACAGTTAATTTAAAGCTAATTAATATACTTTTATAATTACTTACTTGATAGATAGATAGATAATGAATACGATAGATATATTATCAAATCAACTTAAAATTAAACTTTAATAATCTAACAATATAGATTTATATTGTATAAATATATGTATAATATTTACATTTTTTGAATAAAATAAAATAAAATAAAATGTATACATATTTCAATATATATTAAATATTTATACTATTAATTTATTTACATTAAATAATTAATAGTGGTGGAATAATGAATTTTTATACATATTTAAATATAAATATCCAATTTTTTTAGAGTGTTGATAGGCAATGAATACAATAAGAGAACCTATTTTTGGGTTCCCATTGTCAGATGCCCAACATAAAACCCTAACAAGCAAGGGAAACGCAGTGGTCTATTTTAGTAATTTCACAATATATAAGATACTTTCTCTAATTGTATTGTCTGCGTCTCTTTCACAAACGAACCACAGCAGCAAAAGCACGAAGGTGGAGAGAAACCTGTTCGGCTTTCCTCACAGTCTCATTCCTAAATTTCTCAGGAAAAAAAAAGCCCAACCTTTTTCCAATTTTTTTTTTATTAATCCGAGTAAAATTATTCGAATCCGCAAGAACCCTATTTTTTGAATGGTTTACACGGTGGATTCATCAAATTCTCCACGATTTCCAAGGGACGGCGTGAGAAGTTCTCAAAGGAGAGAGAAGTCGTCATCTCCAAAATCAGAAACCGTTAGCGGTGAGGCTGAATCGATCAATTCTATGCTGGAGCAATCGAATGATTGGGCGGCGATTGAGAGTTCGGACAGTAAAAAAGGCAATGCAGGTAAGGCAAAGAAGCCGGCTTGGAACAAACCAACATCGAATGGTGTAGCTGAGATTACTAGTCCTGTTATGGATGCAACTTCATGGCCTGCTTTATCTGAATCCACTAAGCCTTCTCCAAAACCATCGCCTGCTGAATCATCCTCGAAGATTGTCTCTGATGGATCAATACCCACTTCTCAGGTTCTGGGTTTTTACCTGTTTCTTTT